TTAATTTAAAACAATTTTTTTGTTCTTAATTATTTTTTTTTATATGTTATTACTTATTTTTTAATAATAATTAATATTAAAACTTAGAAGTTGTTGATATTATTAAACAACACACTGGGTACAGTAATATTATGTAAGATAACAGTTTAATGTATTTTTACTTATGTTAGTATAGTACAAGATCAAAGGGACACATTCCTTTTATGATTATGTTGTTTTACTCAATGCAGCCTATTGTATACATGTTTACAGTTTAGTCGTAGTTTCACCGTCTATCGAGTAAAGTGACCCGTTGCCGTTGTACATCTCTTATATTATATGTTTTGACATTTTATATTAAATACTANGTCTTATATTATATGTTTTCACATTTTATATTAAATACTATTATATTACGAATAATTTCTAAATCTTTTAATTACATAACTTATTCCATTCAACAGAAGTAATAGAAAAAGTCTAATTGCACATTTGATAACAATAGAAAAGTATATTTTTGTTTCTGTTGAAAGTTCCTTGTAGTCCAGTGTATAAAACTTATAATTTTGTTATAAGTAATAAACATTTACAGTAAATTTCTTTTTAGATAAATATAAATTATAATTCGACTTATCAATACGTATGGCTATTATTATAATTATTATGTCTGTGTTCAGTAAGAAAAACATTTTTTAGCTTCGATGCGAAGCTGAGAAGGTATTGGTTTTACTAAGATGTGTTTTTTTTTTTTTTTTTTTTCTGTTTTTTTGTTACCACTTTTTCTCAGCTCTCACCGAACGGATTTCTTTCAACGATACGTCAAAAGATCACAAATCGTATCTAGCCGAAGACATTACCCTTAAAAATTGAAAAATTTTCCCTCATTCCCCGTAAATGAGGGAAATCTCCAAAAAAATTACAAATTTAAAAATCGCTAATTTTCGAAATTTTTTTTACTAAAAACTGCCGTAACTTTTTCAAAAATGAACATATCAATATAATTGTTTTTTTTATAGATGCATGATATCATTCCATTTCATTTGGTATATTTTTTTTGTAAATCTAACACTTAACCTGCCCACAGGGGGGGATTTAAAATGACAACTTTTTCACAAAAAATTAACTTTTTCAACTTAACTTTTGAAAACGTTCCGGAAGGTCTGACACTTATATATATATCTTAAATTAAAGCTAATGTAATGTACTTTAATTTGAAAAAAAAAAATTGACCTCTGGACTTGTCTTCATGGTGAAAACGGTTACCGAATGCTATTTTTGTGTGAAAATTCTAGATTTTATAATTTACATTTTTGACTTTAAAGTGCTTTAACTTTTTGAAAAATATATGGATCAATACAATTTTTTATGAGAAATAATATTTTTTAATAATCTCTTTTTCATTTGACATACTTTATCTTAATCAGGATATTAATAAGGAACTAGCAGAACATGTATCTTTTGGAATAATACACCAAATTTTTAAAATTAAACACTATCTAAAGATTTGCATCGAAGAGTTTTTATTGATAGTGATTTTAATCACTGTCACATATTATACTGGATCCAACTATGCCACGTCACCACTGTGCCGCGATCCCCATGTGATGGGTTTTTTTATATTAGTTTTAATGTGTTATTCCGTATATGACGGTGAAATGTGGTAAAAATTATTAAAATGATATAGATTTAACAATAATTTTTTTTTGTTCATTATGTGTATGTTAATATGTGCATTCATAATGAGGATAATATTTATTCCATATAATATATGGATTATATTATAATTATTATTAAATAAATGTTTATGCAAAGAAAAACAATTTTTTTTTTTTTGAAAAAAATTAAAGTCTTAAATAAATAAATGATATAAAAATGTTATTAATTTTATTAAATAAAAAGAATACATACCATATAATGATAAAAATTTTATAATAAATATTTTTAATATAAAATTTAAACAAAATTACTTATTTGAAATATAAGTAATTTTGTAATAATAAAAATATAAAAATTATAATGTAACAAGTAGAAATATAATTTATATATATATATTATTTAATAATAATTGTACTATTAATTTTATATTTGTGTTAGTATGTGTTTTATTATTACTATTTAAATATTCACCATTCATCTTCTATCATGTCATCTTTATTTTTAAATTGCATTTTTATATATTCTATTGTTTACTTGAAATCTTTTTTATCAAATTTATATGGGAACACTATATTTTTGTTCTTCATAAAAAGATGATAATTATTTTCTACATTAATATAATCACGGTTCATGTCAAAGTACCATGAATCATTTTCATCAATATTTTCTTTCTTTTGAGTATAATTAATTAATTGATTATATTTTTTATTTAATTTATTTAAATCTGCATATTTCAAATTTATGTTATAAGTTATTATGTGATATATTAAATTGTTCCAATAATTATCTATTACTTTACTGCGAACGTCAAGGATATTTTTTACAATTTAAAAAATTATTCCATTTTCTATGACATATCTAATTGTATTAATAGTGAATATTTCATTACATAATAGTTTCTCATTGATATTTCTTAATCGAATTGAGAAAAATATGCTATATCGTCTATTAAAAAATAAATGTGCGTGTCTTTAAAATAATATTCAATATCTTTATTAAATAAACCATTGTTGATTATTATTGTATATATGATAATTCTGGCAAAGTAAATTATTCTTATCAGTACACCCAGAACATAAATTTTGAATAGAACACATTTTGCTTGTTTTACCCCACGCCGTTTTTATTTTATTTTTACAAGTTGAATCCATTCTACAATTAATTTAGATGTATGTTAATTTCCATAATATAGAATATAATATTTAAAAAAATATGAAAATTATTTATTCATAATATATTTGAAAATAATGTTTTGTGTTTGTGGTGTTTTAAACTCATTAATTGCTTTTGTGTTTCTATCTATAGGCGTTGTTATGCCTTCTTTATTAATTTTATAACCAAGTAGCTCTATTTCGATATAAAAAAATTACATTTACTTGTTTCTAAAGAAAAATTATAAGTATTCATTATTTCAAAAACTTTTTTTAAATTATCCTAAGATTCGGCAAAGTTTTTTTCCAAAAGAAGTTAAATCATCTATATATATGATCAATGACTTATATAATAAAGAAAAAATTTCATTTAATGTTCTTTGAAAAATAGCATATATTATTGGATTTCATTTTTATTTTACATGGTGAATACTAGTGAATAAATGAATGTATCGTTTTAATAAGTTAATAACCTGTGTTCACAATTTTTAAAACTAGGTGACATGTCAATTTTCGTACCTTTTAAGTCTGTTATATACTATTTAAATTGATCAAAATCCTTATCCATGATAATGTTGACCCGGTTGTTATCTAGCAACTGTACCAAAATCAAAAATGGTGAGGCAGGGTCCAGGGGGTGTTCGCGCTTAAACTACTGTCGGGGGATGTGTCAAGCTGGCATCCACTGGTGATCTTCGGTTCGCTGAGGTTACTGCTATCACCGATGGGATGGTGGAGGATTGGATGGATGTGCGGAACTGTTTCCGTGACGATATGCCGCCAACTCGATCAGAGTTTACCCGATGGGTCAACTTGAACTAGTGCATGGATCCCGAAGAATCGCTAATAAACTGTTTTCCTTGTGGCCAATTTCGGACTATGAAAGCGTTTCGGAATTCGGTGTCCAGTGTTAGGGCTGATACAGGGAACCTGGACGACGGATGTTTGTTTGCCCTCGAAAGGGTTGATGTTTACGACCCACTAAAAGGTGTCGATGAGCCCAACCAGAGAGCTGAACTCATCGACAAATGTATTTCGAGTCGCCAAGGAGAAGCCGCAGCTGAATGCCTTATTGGCGTGGTCCGCCTGGTTGCCTCAGATCTCTTATCCCGCTTCAAAGATAGGTTATGAGAACTATAGGGCGCGGTCTTCGACAAGCCGTCGACTATATGGTGTACATGGAACGCAGAGACAGGGAATCGTATAAGATGGAAAAATCGTCGTCTCCCGATTCTGCTGCCGTGGAAGACGAAGACAGTTGTTGGAGAATTCTCCCTCACTGCGACATCCCGGCAAGAGGAGGGCGCCTCTGGGTAAGAAGTTGAGAGCGACGTTTGCCATCACCAGAACTGTAGAGGTCGAGAGTAGTCTGATGAAGGAGGTCCCTAGCACCCACCTGGAATATCTATCCAACAAATCTCCCTCTCCTACCAGGCCCTTACCGATTTGATGGAAATCGTCAAAAGAAACTGGGACACAAGCCGACGAGGACCCATCGGTTGTCAAATCGAAAGAAGCTAGAATACCAACGAAGAGGAAGAAGAAGGGGCTTGCTGTTGTAAGCCCTTCCACCAATTGGTCATTGTGCCTACTCAGACGCAGTCCGGCGAGGGGGTAGTGAACCGAGCAAACTGCGCAGGGGATGCGGGAGTTGCTACCGCTAAACCACTGTGGATCAAAGTCATAAGACGAAAAGTCGGAATTAAGAAGAGGAGGATGTGGCTATCAAGCCCAAACCTCCACCACCCATACAAGACCCGAACGTAGCGAAGCTGCTGTCAAAAGCGCCTCGCGCAGAAGTGGTGGTGATCGGCCCCCTAAGGAAAGTTAAAAGTCGATTAAAACGGGAGGAAAAAAAAAGGGTCCGAGTCGCAAATTTATTTACCGAAGAAATGTTAACTGACGAGCAGGGTAATCGTTCAAAGTCCGACAAGAATCCAAGCTTAAACGAGTTACCCTTTTTTTTTTTTTTTTACACAACCGGCAGCGATATATGAAACCCTAGACGCTACAGAGCGCGCATCAAATGCCGCGCTCCTATTGGTCGACTTTTATCACACGATAGAATGTTATCAACATGAGATTTTTATCACACATTAGATATACACCTTAATTGTATATAATAATTAACTACTTAATTGTGAATATTTAAAAAAGTAATACTTAATTGTAAATACTTCACTACGTAATTGTATATGATACCATACTACTTTCCAACAGTAACTCTTTTACTAAGTTAAGAAAATATTGTTGACAGTCAGCGAGACAATTGCGTATTTCAGATTTAAAGTACTTAATATTTGTTTAACACTTATGCTTCCAAGGATTTTATAAGTTAAACAACCTCTTTTCAGGGTTTTAAATTGTCTTTTTTGTATTATTATGACCCGCCTCAGCAACTTCTAATATATATTCATTCTCAATGACCTATCTTGGTTTTGACACCCACCCACCAAAAGAAGTTTTAAGTATTTAGGCATTTATAAACTATAAAATAGAAAAAAATTGTGTATAACTCAGAGATTGATAAAATCTGCTATAATACTGGAAATTCTGTATCACCAATTACTGATAAAAAAATAAAAAAAAATTTGAACCTAATCTATATCAAAGTAATAAATGCAAAAAGTAATAAATATTTGACATAAAAAATATCATGTTAGAAATTAAAATTATTACATTATAAATAACTACTTAAGATGTTCTTCCGTGGTAGGTTGCGTTCATTTGATTTTTTTTAATATTGTCGTTAAGATTATGAATCCTTTTTTTAATTTTACATTTTCCAACTACAGGAGGTCTTCCAGATGAAACCTTTCTTGAACCTCTAGTTAACCCTTGTCTCCTTCTAGAAATAGCAGTCGGTTGGACTTTTATTTGGCCTCTTTTTTTATTAATCAACATAAGATTTTTATTAATGTTTACAATAAATGATGTAAGTTGTTGAGGATTTTTTATCAATTTTAATTTGGTTGCAAATTTTTCACGAATTTCTAGTGGTACATGTATTAAATAGTCTTCTAGTCTATTAAATTCATTTTTGATGTTCTTTGATACAGTATTATTCCTATCGGTTTCATCACTTAAGTTAGGAACATCTGTTAAGTTTGAACTCTCTTCTATGGGTGCACTATTTTTTTCTTTCAGGTCATTAATTGGAATAGGATGATCAGTATTAGTGGATATTGATTTACTTTCTTTAAGAGCACAAAACCAGTCACTAGAAGGACATTTTTCTCCCAGAGCCAACTTCCCAAGTAGATGTCGCTCCTCAGATGTTACAGGTGGTGCATTAGGAAAGGCTAAATTATAATTTTTATGTAGCCATGCCTGATGTTTACAAAAAGCTCCTACAACTCCAACAAAACAATTACAAACTCCAATACTTATGTTGACTGTGTACTTAACATCATCTTTTGTTGAACTAGGTATTATGAATAATCCGTTACCTAGATTTTGAATATCTTTCAAAGTTATATTAGACATTTTTTTGTACAATTCAATATATTTTCTTTGGATTTCATCTTTACGAACATGTGCATGATCTAATAATCTAGTGATATAGTACTCTTCCCATACTTTTGAAACTGACTCAACTAAAGCTGTAACATTATAAGCTTTAGTTCTACATAAAACTATTTCTTTTAAAACCCTTATTGATGCTTCAGCATAATTGTTAGTGTTATTACCACGAGTTAAAATATCTAAACGATAAAATTTAACCCATTCTGTTTTTCGTTTGTAAAAAATTTCAAAACGTTTTACAAATTTTGGAAAATCATTTGACAGTTTTTTAATATTAAATACAGCTTCCTCCAAGTTCTTCTCACTGTCTGCATACATGACCCGTTAATAATGTTATAAAGTTATACCAACTAAATTTTAAATCAACTACTATTTGTTTACTACTTATCTGTATTGTGTGTAAGTCAATATAGTGCTGAATATTCAACACTTAGCAAATATACAAAGAAAATAATAGGGCATAAATGTAAGTCAAAATGTATATCAGGCTATTTTTTATTATAGGTTCTAGTTATTCATATTTTTTGATATTATTTAAGTTTAAATGGGTCTAGCCCAATTACATAAAAAAAGAATATATTGTTAAGCAATAAAGAAATGTCTTTAAAAAATCCAACTCACAAATGTAGTGCTATAGGATATTATGTAGAATTGAAATTTGTGCCCCTCTTAGAACTGCACCCCAGGTCTATGCCCTCTTGCCCTGCCCTGATACTGATGATTAATAAATGTCAGGTTTAGACTAATTAGATGTGTAGTATTTATTGTTTATACTTTTTTAAAATATTCCATCATAAACTGCCTTTTGTCCTGGGAAATTTGATTTTTTGAGTCAGTTAACCAACGCCATTCTTTCTGGGCTACATGGAAGTGACATAATAACTGTTTGCTAGTTGGCCAAACTTCATGTAATGCCAGTTTTTCAGCAGCAGAATCATCAGTCATAAAAATATCCGGTGCCTGAAATTATAAACAACAGTCAATTAGTATAATAATAATTATTAATAATTGTTTATAATAAATAAATAAATATTAAACTCACATTGAAGCTTCCAAAACATTTGGGGTGAATTAACTTTAAAAATTTAAAAGCTGATTTATAGCTTTCAGTGGATTGTCCTGGATGTAATAATAGAGCAATAGGTACTGCTTCAGCTTTAGTGACAGTCAATAAAATGGTGATAGTAGTTTCCAATGTATCGCAGCTGCTACTGCTATCACAAAATATAATTTCTTTTGAAGAATTTAACATTTGGGCTCTTTTCATTATTGGAGTAGCAACAAGAATAACCCAATTAGATGTTTCCTCCATTATATTTACTGAAATTCCTAATAAATAATAATAAATGTTTTATGAATTCATAAATATTTATATTTAATGCTCTATTATATATTGGCCATTATGGTATAAATATAATAAGTAATATTTTCATTGTTTGGACATTTTCAAAAAAATGTGACTTCCACCACTATGATTTTAAGGGCCTCGAATAATGCTCACCATAAATAATGTGAGCATTATGTTACATAATTGAAATGCCTATTAATTACTATCAATACACCTTTTAAATTATACAATTCAATATTTTCTTTCAATTTAATTAATGGTGCATCTATGGAACCAAAATTTAAGTTCCTCCAAACATTATGTAGATGGTACACTGTATTTTTTATAGGATTAATAGATCCATTTGCCAATAACTTTAAAGGGCTATGATTTTTCATTATAACATTTTCATGATGTCTGCTAGCTTCACTTGGCCCCATTCCATCATAAAAATAATGCATGAATATTTGCTCAGTCTAAAATGAATAGAATACACATGAATTATCTACTACCTTTAAGTAATGGAAAAATTCATGAGAAATACATTTATTTCTAGTTAAAGATTAAAAAAAATAAGGTTATTTATTTATAATTATAAAAAAAGTTATCACTAATTTTAACTTTCTTTACTGATATTTATATCAGTATAAAATACTGAAAAATTATATTTTCTGTTAGGTATAATCAAGTTGTAATTTATCAAAAAATGTTTGGGTATGTATAGATAAGTGTTAATAATTTGTTTTTGTGGCATGAAACAAGAATAACCTAAGGCCTATTAAAATCATTGTACAATTTTCTCAATGATATAAAACAACAAGTCCATTATAATGTTACATTTTTAAAAATTAAAACCTTTTATTCATTTAACAGTATTTTTTGGAAATAAAAATATCAAAATAAAGTATTGGATTAGTTATGTTCTAGTTAAGATAATATGACCCATATTATATCATTACCTTCTGCATTCATTTTGGACTATATTTATTTTTTACATTAAACCTACAAAATTTAGCAAAAAGCCATACCTTTTATTTTTATTAAATTTCAACAATTGAAAATATTATTTACTTTTGATTCAAACCACTAAATTGATATAATGTTTAATTGATTTAAAACACAATTTTTATATTAATTTTAGGAAATTTATATAATATTTATATAATGAATAACGTTGTTACAATATTTTATTCCTGACAAAATAAGAATCAAAACAATGGAAAATTATTGGTAATAAGTAATAAAATATTTTATGAATACTTTTAGATTTAACATATGTGTATAATATTTTAATATGCAAGCTAAATTTACTATGTTACTAATTTACTATTATGATTAAATATTTTTTTAATTTTGTACTGTATGCTTACTTCTGGATTAATACGTAAATATTTCAATGAACCACTTGTATTGATTGTATGATTATGTTCATTGCTTAGAGTAATTTGTCCACATAAAGGAGGATTTTGCTTTAGATAATCATCATTTTTTCTCGTATTTCTGTTATTTTTTTTAATTAAAATATCAATTTTAGCCTCACACAATGTATTACGTGGAGTTAATTCGTCTAAATTTTTCTTGTATACCTTATTTCTTTGGCTGTGTTGGCACAACCAATATTTATGATACACGACTCTATTAAATACTACAATTAGTATGCTTAAAAATTACGCTATACATTAATATATTTCACTCACCTATCGGGATTTTTTAATTGCCCCTGAACAATCCAATTCGTAGCAGTTATTTCTTTAAATATGCAAAAAAAAATGTCAACGTCCTCTTCATTGTTTAAATTGCATCGTATCACTGATACATTATTTTTTTTACTTTCTACTAATTTGCAATGCAAATCCTTATTAATATTATTGATTCCATCAATTATACAATTAATCATTTTTGCATTGAAATTATAACGTTTAATTTAGAAGTAATTTAGAAGTATACATCTAAAGTTTGATAAAAACAGATTGTGTTAAAATAGATTGTATAAATCTATTAAAAGTCGACCAATAGGAGCGCGGCATTTGATGCGCGCTCTGTAGCGTCTAGGGTTTCATATATCGCCAACCGGCATTATTATAATTCACACCACCACGTTGCGAATCAGCCCGAAATTAATCAAGAGCTAATTCGCAATGTGGTGTGGCCTCCTCCCGTTAACCGGATTCCACAGTGGGAATCGTTAGGGAGTGTTGGCAAAATACTCACAAACACAGACACAAAAGCAAGAACAAGAACCTAAGGCACCGGCCTAAATCAACACCTCAGGTCCTCCTGTGCCGGGCGGCGTGGCTGCCTCTGTCTCGGGCGTTCCGCTTCCTCCTTCTTTAAAAAGACGGATTCGGCGAACGCCTGGACGAGCTTCCACACTTCCGGACTCCTCAACATCAGGTCCACCACCGCTTTTGCACCCTGAGCAAGGCTTCACGGTTTTTGGATGAAAACTCAAGAGTATCCGCCCAAACCGGGGACCCGTACAGGAGGACCGAGTATACGACGCTGATTAAAAGTCTGCATGACAAGGCCCAGATAAGTCATGGAGTTCTTAAGCGGGATCTCTACCCCCAGTACGGCGAGCCGTGGAGGAGTGAACCTGTACCTGCCCGTGAACAAAACCGCTTCGGTCTTGTCCAGGGCGAGGCTCAATCCATTCCCCTCCTGCTGAATCCAGGCAGTGACTGCGCTGAGACGAGTTACCCTAGAAAAAGTAAAAAAAAACATATCTGCAAGTTAAAAGCGACTCTTTTAGACCAGCCAAGAACGGTAATAAGCAAAAACTTACCCGGAGAATATAGCTATTTCCGACATAAGAACCTGGCAAGTTGAAGATGCAACTTTGGCCCAGTATGTCCGGAAACTCCGGAGTGACTATTCAATTTATCGACGCTTACATCAAGAATACCACTTGCAAGTTGGTGTTTTATAAATACCAAAACGGACGGAAAGATTATCGACGTTCCGTCAGACATGTCAGACCATCTGCTATGAAGATATATTTCTGCCGGACATCCAGGGAGGAAAGAAACTTACCGGAGCATTGGTAATCATTTCTTCTGGACCTGTATGAGAGAGTCGGTACGTCAATATGTCGCAAGTGTCACGTTTGTGCTTGTATTAAACCACTGAACCGGGAGCAATACGAGCCGATGCAACCAAAACAGCCCCACCAGCCATGGGTGGTTGTTAGTATTGATCTAATGGGGCCGTACCCAAGATCTCAACGCGGTAAGACTTGCTTACTAGTAGCGATAGACTGTTACAGTAGATGGGTGGAGGCACTGCTAAGACGATCACCGATACTCTAGAAAGATTTTTCTCATTTCGGCTACGCTAGAGTACTTCTCTCAGACAATGGAACACAGTTCGTCTCCAAAACAATGGAGAAAGCATTGTAGACACAGAAGGATGGACAACGCCAATTTACCATCCAAGAGTAAACACACTAGAACGCTGAAACCAAGATTTGAAAAAAGGTCTTCGTACAGTTTTGGTTGACTAACCACATAGTCACTGGGACAGCTGTATTCCGAATATACTTTTTTCAATAAGAAATCGTTGGAACAGACTTACAGGGAGCACTCCCTCTGAGCTGTCCAAGGCAAAATAGCCACAAGTCCCCAGCCAGGCCCCCCGTCATAGTAGTGCGAAGCGGAGTAGGTCTCATCCCGACGGAAACATGGGCCAGGATCCATAACCCGATCTTTGGGTCATGTTCCTAGGAAATGACCAGATAGATCCGCCTTTCTACAGCCGGATATCATGGAGAGAATGGAGGTGGAGGCAATCCTCCATGCTTAACCCATCTTGCTGTCGGATTTCGCGTTCAACAATGTCATTTTTCCCTTCAATTTCTATGTCATAGAAATCATCTTTATAGGGAATATTATTTCTCAAGTAATATGCTTTAGTGTCATTTTTTAAAATTTGAACTGCACCTTGGTCGGCCTTGATCACAAATAGTTGCAACCACTATGAGACCAGTTTTGTGAACTGCTACTATAACCTATTAAAATCAATTAGTATTTTATTTATGAAAAAAGCTTTATAATCCTATAAAAAAAAAATATTCCTCTTTTAATTGACGTACTAATTCATATTGATTGGTGGTGCCTTGACAAAAAGTATAGCTAACAGGCTGTTTAAATTTCTTTTTTATTTCTCGTATCATAAAAACTAGTACATGATTACCAATTTTTTGATTTCTGTGAGTTCCTGAATCAACAAAACCTTCAATTATATCAACTGATGAATTATATTGAAGACCTCTACTTAAACACATCTCATCAAATAATATTGAGCAATACCTATGAAATACATAATACATCAATATAGAAGAAAATTATTTAAGTCTATATATAAACACAATCTAAGTACCGTTCAATGGGTTTCAGTTTTTGTACGTTTTTTTTAAGTACATCCATGACCAATGAACAAATACCAAGCCGAATTGACTCAGCATTTTTTCATCCAAACTGAACCTGTGACCTCTGCCTGACTTATTGGTTTCTCGTATTTACAGACGCATAAACATTGAAGCTGTTGCACTCATGTTGTGTGAATATTTGTTGAGTAAAAATTTATCAGTAAATTTTTCAAATGTCTTTATTTTATCTTTAAATAATTGATTTTTTACTCCATCACGACGTGATTTTTTTAAGAGTTGATTAGTGATGCGGTTTATACAGTTGTATTACATTGTATAGTAATTATTCAAATAATTAAATATTTAGATACCAAAAACTTATGAAGAATGAAAAAGTAACTACCCCAAGTAGCTGGGATTAAGGCGAGGAAGAAGAAGAAGAAGAAGATATGATATGCAATGGCCCACCTCACCACCCAAAAGAAATTATCCTGGATCCGCGCCTGGTTTAGCCCTGATAAATACAGGACTGAACTGAAAAAAATACTGTTGGAAAACTCAGATGACATGACAAATGTGTCTCTATTGTTCAAAACATGAAGATAAATGTAAAGGAAAATATTTTGAATGGGTATCATACAATAAATATTATTGAAGGATAGCAATTAAATGTATAACGGAAAAGTACAGACAAAACGATTATAGCAATAATGATTTTTATTGCATAGTATATGACGAAACCAGAGATGAAACAGGAACCAGCATTTCATCAACTGTAGAATATTCAGACATTGAATAATTTGATTTATTATTTACCAAAAACATTTGAAACAACTCTGATATGGGAGCTACACAGTCACCCGATTTTTCCTATCATATATATTGTCAAAACGAAAAGTTGAAAGCAAATATAAAAACCGTTTCAAACTCAATGTCGCGCGAAATATGTCTCTACCAGTACCATTAGTAGCAAATAGTCCCTCTATATATTCCATGCCCGATTTGAAAATACCACATAAATACAATAAACCGATAAATACTTTAATTTTAATAATGTCTGAGAAATCGATAGCTCTGTTATTTTTACATTTGTGTATTCAGTAATTTTTTCAATCATCGTATTATCAAATAAAATGGTCTAAAAATCAATTGGATTACTACTAATGATTATTTTTGCAGAGCCAACTATACCAAGAAGATGTGATATTATTTTTATTTTATTTTATATATAATTCAACGGACTGGGCCCTTTTTCAAATAGATATGTACAATTTATACAAAGACTACAATTTTTAAGTACAAAACAATAAAAAATCCACAATAAATTACAAAGTAATAAAAATTTTAGATATTTAATATTTTTAGAACTAAGTGTTAAATAATGAATTAGTGAAATGAATGTCCTTATTGGCACAAGACATTATACGCCTACATTATATGGCTCATTCACTAAATAATTGGTGGAAGCATACGGGACAAAAAAGGGAGTATAAGTTCGGATGAAATACTGTGTAACCTTGAAATAAATTAGTGAAAGAAGTTCAGAGGACTCAACATTACCATTAATTAATCCTTCTAAGAACCTGATACCTGCGTATCACCATTCAGCCAGATAAGGTAGGCCTAGCTTTTGACTATCGGAGATAGTCATGAGGTGGACATGGAACTTTTAGTACGAAACTGGCAAAACGCAAAAATTTACACTGAACACGCTCAATCTGCAACGAACTATTTGCTACATGGGGGTTCCAAACAACATAACCATATTCCAGTATTGGTCGTACAAGAGCACAGTATTAATTTTTAATAGCAATGTTTAGCTGAAAGTCTATTGCCAGTCTAAATAATAAACCAAGTGCTTTAAACGCCTTACATCATATATAATTAATGTGTGGGTTAGGGTCAAGGTTAAAACTTAACGTTAATCCAAGGTACACGACAAAGTCAGTTTGACGTCGGATATTGTTTGTGTCAATGCTATAAGGAAACACTAATGGAGATTTTATCCTATGAAATGTGAAAACCTGATATTTGGAAATATTGTGTGTTAATCCTAATGCACTAAACTATTTAGAATAGAACTCAAAATCTGCTTGTAACTTTAGGCAATCGTCAATTGTAAATACTCGCATATATAACTTGAGGTCATCAGCAAAACAGAGAATGCGGCAGTGGCGTAGAACTTGAGTGACACTATTAATAAATAAGGAGAATAAAAGTGGAGATAGATGACCCCCTTGTGGAATACCATATGGGGCTAAAAATAGTTTAGACTTTATACCAAATACCTTAACCCATTGGTATCGGTCATGAAGATAGGATTTAAACCAAGATAGGAGAGGTTCACCTAAAACACTAATAAGAGTATTATGATTTACTGAATCAAAAGTTTTTTAAAATCGGTATATATTCATCCACCTGAGAACGATTCTGAAATGAGTCAAAAATATAATTACAGAATAAGAGATTATTTTTGGTGGTTGAACGACCTGGGCGAAAGCCATGCTGTTCTTCCATCTCACACTATTTATAGAAGGTTGGATGGCTTTTAAGACTAATGATTCAAATATTTTTGATAAATGTTATTGGATAGAGAGAGCCGGTAATTAGAAACTATAGACGGAGAGCCTGATTTATGAACCGGTGTAACTGAGCTAAATATAAATAACGTCGGAAAAATACCCTCATCAAGCGATCGTCTAAATAGTATCCACAGCGGATACGCCAAAGCTGACCTTAGCTCAAATAAGAATGACCCGGCGAGGCCATCAGGTCCAATGGACCAGTTGCCACGAAGACTTGAAAGGCTTTGGAAAATTTCATCAATGGAAAAAGTAACATTATTTGGAAGGTCATAAGTAAAGATACCCAATTTTTCAATGTCAACCTCATTATGATCTGTAGAATAAACAGAAGAAAAATAATTTGATAACAAATTAGCTGTCTCCTGTTCATTAAAAGTACTATTACCATTTAAGGACATAACATTGGATATGGTTTTACTAGAACGTTTAACGTTAGAAGTCATGAAGATTATCATTAAGTAAAAGTTCAGTACGCATAACGTAGTCGCGATAGCATTTTTTGTAATCAAATTTATTTTTTGCAAGGAGAAACGAGAATTCTTTATAGTCCGACATATTTAAAGTAGACTTATATCTTGCATTTGCTTTTTTCTTGAGAATCAGTGTTCTCTTAAGTTTTTTATTAAACCATGGAGGATATGACGAATCTTTATGATAAAAAGGAACAAAATCAATGACGGCTTTGTGCAAAGCATTATAAAATAAATTTACAGCTGAATCAGCATCATGGAGGAGAAATGTAGAACTCGTTGAAATCGTTGACTGGCCTATTTATGTTGTTTTAATTTATATTTTGTATCAATGTATATAAATTTTCTTTTGTTACTTGTTTCTTACTAAAATTTATTAATGATGTTTATGATGACTGTTATATATATTTTGGGCTTTGCCTGTATAAAATATTATAAATAAATAAATAAAAAAAAAAAATCATTTTTTAACAATAATGTTACATATTATAATTCATCCATTGTTTTAAGCAAATTGCCTTGTATAAACTACACACGGTCGGGTTGTTCATGTGTCGGGTACAACACATTTTTGTAACACAACTTAAATTGTACAGCAGTGGGCAGTCCAAATCCTCGACGTTGACTATATGTTGTCCCGGTATGTACTTTTCCACAGCTCCCTTCACGTAAATGGTCTCGCACCGCAACAATTTCATGATTCTCAGCAACTCATTGTATTCAACGTCACTGCAACGAGTATCCATTCCATTTAGGCATTTTTTCAACCAAAAGTTTGTTTTAGCATTGCCCTCGATACTTTTTGGATGTTTAAAAATCCAATGAGCGAATGAAGTATAGTCTATGGCAATGATAGTCAGTTCCTTGACCAAAAACGATCGGTCGGCTATAACAATACATTGTATATCGACAATCATTGAGGTGAGATATTGGTTTTCGGTATCCATGAATTGTGCTCTGGACCAAATCCTAACCATTTAACGAAGCACTGGTCCCCTCGTGTTCGCAACACTCGTTCGACTAAATACATGTCCGCATAACTGGTCTTGTTCAGCTTTTCGGTGTAAAACAAACCACGTATTGGATTTCCCTGATAGTCTTCTAGATAGTATGTTGGCGGTACTGTTTGCCTAACCTTAACTACGGTAAACAGTTCGGTGCTCCAGTTTGGTAAGTAACCCTTATCAAACACTGATTTATGTACACTTATCCGCACCTTGTCTCCCACACGGAATTTTACCGGTAAATTATCCGGTNGATCTGCACCTTGTCGCCCACACGAAATTTTACCGGTAAATTATCCGGTATTTGACGCAACTTGAACCGAACCAGGTCTGGATTTTTCACCGCTTGCACCGGTGTCATTCCGATGGTTCTATGTTTACGCACGTTATTGTAGTCATGCAACAGCGCAGACAACCGATTCACCCATTTGTACGAGCCACGTGCACCAAAGTCACGCCACATTGCGTTTTTCAGCGTGCGGTTAAAACGTACCACTAGACACGCTTTCATCGTGGAATAAGTAGAGTAATGATTGATTGCGTATTGTGACATCAGTTTTTGAAATTGTTTCTTGTAAAATTCTTTACCGTTGTCCGTTTGCAAAAACTTAGGATGACGACCATGTTTCAGTATTCCGTTCATGGCTGCGGTAACTTCGTTGGCCGTTTTATTTTTCAACGAGTATTTTGAAAATCCATCGACGCACGTTAAAATATACTGATGTCGTCGATCAGGGTATGGGCGCATTTCCATGAGGTCAGCGTGCTATATATCATCGAGACCCTTGATATTAATTCGAACACGAGTGTATGTTCTACGGGCCTGCCGGTGGAGTTTCTTAGCAATGTTCTTATTCATAACGCCGCTGGTATCTGTTCAATGTAACCGGCTTCCTTCAGCTCTTCCAGGTGAAATTCCAGTGTTGCCAGCCGACCGGGCTGATATCAATAAACGTAAACGTTCCACAAGCTCGTTGGGGTCGTCCCAGTACACGTAATCTTTTTTCTTGTTGTTCAATCTCAATTGTAGACCCGCACCGATAATGGATGTGTCACTGATGTTGCTGCTTCTGCTGTTTTCAAACAACGATAAGGAATTGTGTTGCGTTACCACCATCACTGTTATCAAACAATAGTTTAATGGTATTTACATACTTTTGACCTCCTTTTTTCAATGTTCCGTCTTTATTTAAATGCACACCGGTTTTGCCGAGAATCGTTTTGTACGCATACAAATCCGATTCGGAGTAAACACCGGCGTTTTTCGAAAACAGTAAATCCACAAGACCTATTGTTTATGCCATAGTTAATATTGCTTCATCAACTGAAAATTTTAGTGCCCAAGTTCGTAAGATAGATAAACCTCAAAAAAAATACATTTAATACACATAATTTTCCTTATTTATTTAGCCAAATTATTTATTATTTACTTAGAAGTGGAAAATTCTTTTTTTTTCTTAGACATCGAAAAGAATTTGGTGATATACTCCTTAGAGTAATTGCTGAAGAAATGTCTTCTGGAGTCCAACGGTAAACTTTTTTTTAGGCTGAAGAATAAGTTGAATCTGAGTTGGTGTAAAGAATTGTGATAAAATATCACTACGGCGATTTTCATAGCGATGATCTTCCAAATTAATGAAATCATTGTAACATTTATTTTTATTCATAACAGCAGTATAATTTGCTTTTAAAATTAATAAAACGTTATTTTCATCCAACATTTTTAAATATTTGTTTTTATAATCAACATACTTTTTTTATAATCTAATTATTTAAAATATAAAATTTTTTAGTATAATTATAGTACTATTATTAATTGAGTAGAACATAAATATAGTTTATAATTATATAAACGTATTAATAAAAATTATTTAGCTTCAATGCGAAGCTGAGATGGTATTAATTTTACCATGATGTGTTTTTTTTTTTGTGTGTCCGTTACCTCTTTTTCTCAGCTCTCACCGAACGGATTTCTTTCAACGATACGTCAAAAGATCACAAATCGTATCTAGTCGAAGACGTTACCCTCAAAAAATTGAAAAAATTTCCCTCGTTCCCTGTAAATGGGGGAAACCTCCAAAAAAATTACAAATTTAAAAATCGCTAATTTTCGAAATTTTTTTTACTAAAAACTGCCGTAACTTTTTCAAAAATGAACATATAAATATAATTTTTTTTATATAGATGCATGATATCATTCCATTTCATTTGGTATATTTTTTTTGTAAATCTAACACTTAACTTGCCCACAGGGGGGGATTTAAAATGACAACTTTTTCACAAAAAATTAACTTTTTCAACTGAACTTTTGAAAGTGTTCTGGAAATACTGACACTTTTATATATATCTTAAATTAAAGCTTATGTAATATACTTTAATATTAAAAAAAAAAATTTGACCTCTGGACTTGTCTTCGTGGTGAAAATGGCTACCAAATGCTATTATTGTGTGAAAATTCTCAATTTTATTTTTTACATTTTTAACTTTATAATGCTAAAACTTATTGAAAAGTGTATGGATCAACATAATTTTTTTATGAAAAATAATATTTTTTTATAATCCCTTTTTCTTTCGACATACTTTATCTTAATCAGGATATTATTAAGGAACTAGAAGATCATGTAGCTTTTGGAATAAACCACCAATTTTTAAAAATTAAACACTATCTAAAGATTTACATCGAAGCGTTTTTTTTTTTTTGATAGTGATTTTAATCACTGTCAGATATCATTATACTTGATCCAACTATGCCACGTCACCACTGTGCTGGGTTTTTTTTTTTGGGTGTTTCTCCTAGGTCACCTACACAAACATGATCAGTTATTAAAAAGAGCTATTTTTAATATGAATTCTTTACATACTTCCATGGTTATCTATAGATAATGATGTATTTTTATCCAATAAGTAGCTACAAAACAAGTTGTTTTATTACAAGTATATTATAATACAGTAATAATAAAAATATTTAAGAAATGTTTACTCTTCGATAAAAATAAATCAGGCGACGGAGTTTCAATGAATTGATTTTTGTCCATTAATTGAATTTTAGTTTCTACTGAAACTAGTGAGCTTGGAGTATTATTGGTTGCACTAGAATTGCTTTTATCACAATAATCTAAAAATTAATTTTTAAACTAATGTTGAGAAAAAATTGAAAAGTTATTATAATGTAAATTTTAACACTATTAGTATTGATGCAAGCAAACATAGACATATACTATATATGTTTTATATAAATATAAAACACTCCTCATGTGGTCAGGGTGTACTAAAGCATACCCTATTCTAGTTGGTGTTTAATACTAGTAGGCATTTTTAATTGATTGATTAATTTTTTAAGATACTGCTTATAACAAAATGAAATTGAAGTTAGGTTAACAGACAGTACAAATTGATTTTCTTTTCTTTATTTTCATTCTTAGATTTTAAAAAACAAGTAATATTACTTTTTTTTTAAAAACCTAGAAAAGCACTTCTACAGTTTATAAACCATTACATTTACACACATAAATATAAATAAATGTACATAATAATACACATAAATATTGAAATAGAATTATTTATAATGTAATAAAATTTTGATAAAGATAGCATACTATGAAAGTTTGAAGGCAGTATTGTTAATTTTGGAACTTTTGGAGTTTTCATCTTAAACGTCTTGATTCTTGGAGATCCTACCAGAAAAAAATGCTATTTTAATGCTTATATGTTAGTTAACATAATATACAACACCCTACTAATATGTAAATATGTGTAATATGTAGATAGAATACAACTGAAATACTAAAGGGACAAGAAGATTATAAATAGCTTCTCTAATTGAATTTGACAAAAAAATAATTATTTTTAAAAAATTTTTAGAGATTTAAAGAAGTAGGTTAAAATAAATTTTTTTTTTAAATTTATTTATCTCTGATGGAATAACATCTAGTTATCTTATAATTACAATACACAAAAAACTTACCAGTAACATATTCATCACTTTAAATAAATATTTTTTTTGCTCTATATTTTCTTTGTGTTTTTTGATAACTATTTTCATCATTATCAGCCGCTTCAGAAAAATTGTACTGTATTATATTAGAGAGTTTTTTTTTGAGCATTTTCAAATAAATCTACATAATTATAATTAAACATGTTTTTATTTTATAGTTTTAAATATTTCTGTTAGTATGATGTTTTTTCAGTTTACTTATAAAGAAATTTTTTATTTTGAACTCTTATACCTCATAAGGGAGTTAACTTTAATTTTTCATACATATTTAAGTAGTTTGATTCTTATACAATGATCTAATAAAGAAAATTACTGGTTGATAAAAACTTTTAGATAAGCATTTAGAAGTTATAAACATTTTTAGATATAAACAGAGAAAAAACATATATTAAATTATCATCACCAGTATAGACAATAAATAAACATGTATGTTTACAAGTTTAGAATAAAAGAATAATAATTAACATATTAATAAGACAAGAACATAATATTACTTACCACTCATTCCAACAATCTTGTTATATTTGACTGTTTTCCAATTGGAAATTGGAGAAGACATATTTTTAACAGCGTTGTTGAATTTTTTTTCATTTGATGTTGGTCGAAGAAAACATATTATTTTTAATTTGTAGCCAGTTTTTTGGCAAAACTCTCAGCCCATCATCAAATTCAAACACTATATACTTTCTAAAAACCCAACGATGATTACTCATTAAAACAATAAAAATCATAATTTTTTAAAAAAATTATCAGCATAATCCCATAAAAGTAAAGTAGAATACATTTAATATACATACTTCATGTCGCTCATAAAACACATCAAATTTAAATGGGAAGTATAAAGTTAAATAACATGTGAATCGTTGTGAATGGGTAAAAACAAAACGGCTATTTGTCGATAACCGTCATGACGGCGGGCGTCACGTCGATTGGCGTGTATAAAGCAGTTATTCAGTATTACCAATCGTATTTTAAATCAACGACACGAATAAAGCATAAAGTAATATTTTTACTATATATTACTTTATTCATTATTTTTAATGCTATAAAAATAACATTAACTTCTACAAAACGATTATTATCTAGGTCAAAAAAACCATTTGTATCTCTGTCAACAAGACACAGAATATGATTGGTTTCTAATCTTTGTGAGGATAAAACGAGAGATGATGATATTGAAATGGAAAATGAATGTAGCATTGACATAGAAAAGATACAACAATACTTAGTTCTTGAATAGTTTGATAACGCTAATACTGAAAATAAAGTAAGAAAATATCAATTATATTGTAACGTGACAAAAGTATCTGGTTGTTTTTTTTTTTGTCTATTTGTATATATACATTTGTGTTGAGCCGAATGCGGACTGCGACGGCGTTTGTTGGTAAAATTATCATGATAAGGTGTGTGATTTGTTTATGCGCGTGCGACATAGTCAGCTGTGTACTACTTCAGACCGGTTCATGGACGGCATTTGTGTGTACATTCACCCCGCTCCTTTCCTATCTTGAACGTCATTTGCACTGCTCATCGCATACATTGTCGCCATATGATTTAAATTGTTTTTAATAATTCCGGCACTGGGTATTTAGTTATTTTTTGACCCCTACTCTAAAGGCTAGCCGTTTGGTCGCCAACGGACCGCCGGGTCAAACGTCGGACGGGTTGTCGGAAATTAGCCATCATCGGAACGGGTCGTCGCTAATTTTCGTCCACAGCGGTTTTTTTTTGTTGTGTGCGCTGCAACTGTTAATTATATATATATATTTTCGCGAGTGTCCGCTATGTTGTGATTATGTAAATATTTTGTTTAATGGCGTCGGCTAAACCTGCCTCCAGCTTCTTGAGCCCTTAGGGGCTGGTAACGTATACGTTTAGTAGTTAATGTTTTGAGCCAGTTTTTGTTATTAGTGCGCCGTGCCATAAGCACGTGTGGCGAATTTTTTTATATAGTTTTTTTTTGTAGGTGCCCCATTTTTTTTATTTTGGTCCCTCAACATGGCAGGCGTGTTCCAATACCACCTGTCATGTTATATATATTTTTTATATAGGTTATATGTCATATTTTATTGGGTGATGTATATATTATTGGTACAATGTGGTGACGTAGTGCATTTTATTCCGGGGTGTCCCAACGTCTTGCAAGCTAAGTCTAACTGCCAGAAACCAGTCGCTTACTTGGAACGTATACCTGTCGTGCTTAGCGGCAATGCTGCGATTAATAGCCGGCGGGTACCCGAAGACGTTCATCGTATTCTCTAATAATAATAAAAGTGTAGGTGTAACTATTTTTTTATTAATATCTGTTTTTTTTTTCTCTCTTTCTTTGTCCCCTTTAATTTGTAGACTCGGTTTTTTGCCTCGTGTTAACTTAATTTTTTTTGTTTTTTTTTTTTAATAAAGTCCCCTTAATTTAACTTAACCATCATCTGTTTCTTCTGTTTTGCGTGTTCCATCTTCAATGGACTCGTGTATTTTTTTTTTTTTTTCTCCTTTCAAAAATCAATTCCCCTAGTTTATAAGGTACGGGCAACGGCCTTGTATAAGGTCATCCCTGATCTATATGGTTATGTGACAACTGTCACGAGGTTTTGGTGTACATCTACTATCAACGACTCAACGGACATCAACTTTAATATTTATTATTTATATATTTTTTTCTAATTGTTTTAATATAAAAAAGTTAATTTTTTTTTAAAATCCTACTGTGGTCTGACAATATACTGTCTCGCCCAGTAGGTTGGCGACCCTTTACTTATAACTTTGTAAAACGCCATGAAAGTTACAAATTCTTCGTTGCGGCCAATTAATTTGATTTTTATATATTTGTAACCTTTCAATATCTTTTTTTTTTTTTGTTAAGCTGCTCAAGGTTTTAATTATTAATTGCAAACATGTATGAAAACATTTTGATAAAAATAGTAAATGTGTAAAATTTGTTAATAAAGTTTTTATACCGATTTTCATAAATCAAATTCTCTAAAAATCACAATTAGATTTTAAAAGTTAATTTTTTTCAAGAATATATGGTATTGCTTCTAATATTTACTGAATAAATGGTTATAATAAGTACTAAGCAAAGGCGTAAAGCATTTGAGTAAATGTATTTGAATAAAAGTATTCAAATACTTTCATTGGTATTGAATAGTATTTTTAAATACATTTAATAAAAAGTATCTGAGTAGTATTTTAAATACAATTATTTAGTATTTAATACTGTTTAATATTCAGTACTATTAATATACTTTTTTTTTTTTTAATTTGCTAACCGTAACACAGCAAGCAAATTAAACTCAGTCAAAATGAAAATTGAGAATAATTCTCTGTTATTTTATATGTTATAATATAATATAACATAATTATTGTGCTTATCTAAATGATATTATGTATACATCTATTTTTAATACATCAGTTGAACCTACAATAGCCTATGGCAGGTTCAAATGATTTACTCTATTGTCAATAAGACATACTTTACAGGTTTTTACACGTGTACTAATATTTATTTTTTTTTACTGATTAGTCTCCAATAATTAATTTTATTTACCTCTAACAAAAAATATCGAAAATAATAAATGAGTTCTCTTAATTTAAGAGTACTCAATATTTGACTCAAATTACCCTCTTGGTAATTATTTAGGTGGAACCTTTTGCTCTTAGTTAAAATAAAAACATAATTATTTTTTTTTAATTGTATTCTTAATATTTGAAATACTTTTGTAAAGTAATTGAGTATTACTCAAATACCTTTGTATGAAAAGTATTCAAATAGTATTTTAAATACATTTTTTTTTAAATATTTGAGTATTATTTAAAATACTTTTTAAAAGTATTTTTTACAACTATGGTACTAAGGCTGTAAATTTTGTTTTATAAGTGTTATTGTGGCTATTTATCCTGAATTATAAAAGTAGTTCACTTTAGAGTGATATAAATTATTTTAAGAGACTTAAAATACAATTTAATTTCTATTTTGTATCAACCAGATATTGAATGCTATTTAACCTATATATGCCATTAAATATAAATAATTCTGAAACAATGGACAGTAAAAGTTCTCTATTTTAAAATTTAAATTTAATAAAAACTTTATTTTTTGATTTATTAGAACTCAGAAAGCATTTTTACAAGTAATCAAGATATTGAAGACCAGAATGATCAGTTTGTAGAATTGTTTGAAAAGGGCCACAATTTTAAGCAAAAAATTTCCAAATGGGCTGTTGAAGAAAGAATTAATATGTCTTCACTTGATTGATTGTTAAAAATACTTAAACGCATGATTGTCATGAAGATTTAATATCATGTGCTAGAACACTACTTGAAACACCAAAGTTACTGTCACAAAAAATGTTCCTGGTGGAATTTATTGGCATTATAGGTTAAAAAATGGTATATTAGATTTTTTAAGAAAAGCAAAGTCATTCCACCTTTGTATGGTACAGAACGCCTTTAGAAGGATTTAGTTGACCAGTTGTTACAAAGATCATTGATTATATTATTTCGTGGGACAGCTGATCACCAGCATCTTGCTTTACTCACCCCCTTGTTCACTCATCACGGCAAATCGATGACCTCCGTGTCGGTTTTCATCCGTATACAGTTCATTGTCGTAAGTCAGTCAGTCAATTGTTTTTTGTGTCACTTTTTTTCTGTTGCAGGCGCCTTCACTTGAATGATAAATTTGTCCGGCCGTTGTACGCCATAGTTTTTTATTGCTTGTCTATTGCACCCTTGTGCTCAAAGTTTGAGCACGCCACTAGTGATTGGGCCCTGACCATCACTAAACATTATCATTGCTGTAGTCTGTTCTCATCTGCCATTACGTGCTTGGATTTACACTCTGACTCGTCATACTCAGATGTTCGACACCATTACCACAAGATCTCATACAGTCCACTCATCACTATCAACAACGTCATCTATACAGCTGAGTTTTATATTATTTTTAATGTTATTTATTGTTTGTTTTAATTGAGATTAACTATTTGTTTTATGCCGCTTCGCCGGCCACTAGTATTTAAGGGCCCCCCCTTACCCCTTAAATTTAAGATACTTTCCGAGTAATTTCTAATATATGTGATTATTTGTTATTTAATTATTGTCTACTTTCGTTTACTTATTGGATGTATAGTTAGCCGTCATCTCTTAGGTGACCCACTCCCGCATCAATAATAACGTTTTTTAAACAGGCTTAAGATAAAACGGCATTCTAGTGCGGTGCATAACTAGCCGTTCTACGGTCTATCTGCCTCATACAAAACAACCTTCAAAATAATACCATCATTCAACTAATGGTTCATCTAGATGGCCTACCTGTCAGTAAATCATCGACTAATCAATTATGGCCTATATTGGGTTCTTTTTTCAAAATCAACTATGTTTTCATAATTGGCTTCTATCATAGCTTAAATCTAAAACACATGAAGTTAATTCTTTTTTAGATGATTTTATAACAGAAGTGAATGAATTATCACAACATGGTATAAGGTGTGGGTTATATCTTACAACACACAATTATTTAAATGGCGGTAGACTTTTATTAAACAAAATTATAACACTAAAATAGACGTATAAACACTAAAAGAAAATATATGTATATACAGTAAGGAAAAATAAAATAATCGAAGTAAACATAATACACGATGACAACAGCGGCGGGGTGTAGCGGTCGTGTAGCGTATCGCGGACTAGACAGTCTGAACTGAACTAACTGAACTGACTGATTCTTCCGATATATATATAGCTCCGATAAGGCTCTCGCTAATTCTAGAATATTCTATACCCGCGTAGGTTATCTTATGGCGTTATCGAAGTTTCTCGAAGGTTTTTGATAACGAGAACATTCGAGAATATTCGTTGCGTATGTTTTGGTCGCTACATCACTCCCCTACCAGTGACGGAGTCAAGCGGAGCCTACTTGAAGACGGTCTGGAAAATGGACTCTTCTTCCGGAACGTGTCCTTTGATCCTCCCTGGGAATGGTAATGGGTGTATGTGTCTGGATCTTTTTCGGAATATTTTCCTTAGAGTATTCATCTGCCATGATGTATGCTGGTTTAAGTCTATCTATAGTAACTGTAACTTTCTTCTTATTAATATCAATAACAAAAGTTTTTTCGTTCCTACTTATGACTCGATAGGGACCATCATAGGGCATTTGAATTCCGTTTTTGGGCCCATCATGTCGAATGAATACGTACTCTGTGGTTGCTAGATCCTTGAAAACGAAATTTTTCTTCTCGCCATGTCGTGTACCATTGACTGGTCGGATCTGCTGAATGTGATGTCGAAGGTCTTTGATAAACTCAGCTGCGTCGTCGCACTTGGCGGTATTATTATTTGACGTGAGGAATTCACCAGGGAGTCTAAGTGGCTCTCCATAGACTAATTCTGCCGAGGTGGATTTAAGATCGTCACGCCAAGCTGCTCGGATACCCAATAAGACTGTCGGAAGAGTTTCTGTCCATCGATTATTCTGATGACATTTAATAGCGGCTTTAAGCTGCCGATGGGATCGTTCCACCATGCCATTTGCTGAAGGATGATAGGCCGTAGTTCTAAGATGGTTCGTACCAGTCAGGTAATTAAGTTGCTTGAAAAGGCATGACTCGAATTGTCTTCCTTGATCTGTTGTGATACGAAGAGGGGTACCAAATCTTGCAATCCAATGTGTATAGAAGGCTCGTGCTACAGTTTCCGCTTCTTGATTTTCCAATGGAACTACTTCAGGCCATCGAGTAAATCTATCGATGCACGTGAGGCAGTAACGAAATCCTTCGGAATAAGGCATAATTATTAAATCTAAATGAACATGCTCAAATCTTCGAGACGGTAGAGAAAATGACCCAAGGGGTGCTGTGACATGTCGCGTGATTTTGGCTCGTTGACATTCGACACATGCCCGTGCCCAATGTCTGCAATCTGCGTCAATTCCTGGCCACACAAACCGCTGTTTTACAAGCTTCACTGTGGCTTTAACTCCTGGATGTGCAAGGCGATGTATGGTATTGAAAACTGTTCGTCGAAAAGGCTTTGTAACAAAAGGTCTGGCGATTGAAGTTGATGTGTCGCAGAACACTAAGACATTCGTGCCTGGTAATTCCACTTGCTTAAGTCGCAATCCGGTGTTTTCTTGTGCATACTTTTTCAATTCGTCGTCTCCCTGTTGTGACATTGCTAAAGCAGTGTAGTCTAACGTGTCTGATAATGCGTCCACGCGTGATAGGGTATCAGCCACGATATTCTGTTTACCAGGAACGTACCTAATATCCGTGGTGAATTGTGAAATAAAGTCCAAGTGTCTGAATTGTCGTGGTGTGCACTTATCCGATTTCTGTTGAAATGCGAAAGTGATAGGTTTGTGATCGGTGTATATAACAAACTCGCGTCCTTCCACCATATGCCGAAAATGTTTGACAGCGAGATAGATCGCAAGAAGTTCTCGATCGTAAGCTCCGTATTTTGTCTCAGTCGCCGTGAGTTTCTTGGAAAAGAAGGCGAGGGGTTGCCACTCGTCATTGATGAACTGTTGGAGAGTTGCGCCAACCGCTGTGTTTGAAGCGTCGCTTACAATAGCCAGTCGAGCGTTGTCACATGGGTGCGCGAGAAGCGTGGCTGTGGCGAGTTCCTCCTTGCATTTCTCGAACGCTGAAATTGCTTCTGGTGTCCAATTAATAGGTGCTTTACCTTTTAGATTAGGTACTAAGAGATCACTTA